AATGTTGTACAGGATCACTGTTAAAATCTAACTCAGCAGATGTGTACATGTGTACACATGTATAGATAAAATATATGTTTTTATTCTGAGATAAAACAGATAAATTTTATTTATTTAATTAGCACAAGTTGCAAATTATTTACTATGCTACGAAACAGCTCTTTATATTTTACTTCACACACATATATTGATGTGATACTTTTATAAAAATAGAAGCATTCTACGTTTTGCTTTACATTTTCAAGATTTTAGTCTAAGTACTATTTTTCCTTTTTACAAATTACAATACAAATCAAAATAACTGATATTTCTTACCGATGTATCACTGAAAAAGATTCGAATGTTGGATCAAAACGTTTGAAATATTCAAATAAACTTATTCAAATACTGACATCCAGTGTTTTGTCTTGTATCGGTTTCTCTTTCCTCCATTTATCATTTATCGTATTTTTATGTTTAGAAATTTTAGTTTTGTTACACGATCTTTTACACTGAAAAAGCAGTTTTGTTGAGATAATAAAAATTTGGTGAATCAAATCAAATCAAGTGTTCTGGAAACTACATTTTGGTTGAGATTACCAAAATTTGGTAATCTCAACAAAATTGTTTTTTCAGTGTATATGTGCGTGTTTTTAGCATATTTTTATTCCCTAATATAACATATTTATGTTGTGTTAATAATAACATATTATGTTGTGTTATGTGTAATGTGTATATAACGTATAAATTATATAATTATAACGTGTGTAATTACGTAATTCAACGGCAGTTCGAGTAAGCGCAAGCGCTACATGAGGCCACACTTTTGTTGCACATAATACATCCGTAATTAATAGTGTGATTCCGTAAAACGCTTTTGACAATAATTCATTTCGGTCTAAAAATGGATAAGTAACGCGATGACGTTCTGTTTGTATTATAGATAAGATTAAAATCGTTTCATACATATGTTTTACTTTAGTTAGTCGGAAACTGTCTACCTGTCTTGCGCCTCGATCGATGTTTGCCGCGATTATTATAGTGGGGTAAATTCTGCGGCTTAGGTAAATACTTAAAATCTTATCTCCGCTTGACGAAATAAATATAACAGAGAATANGATTTTATCTGATTCGTTTGGTTGACGTCGAGAGACTGATTGTTTCCAGAAACCGCATAGATGCGATTTACAATTCGTACATAGAGCAATCTGTCATTTATGAACTCGGGAGTGCTTTTTTGTAAAAAAAAAATCTTTTACTAGTTTACGTGACAGTGTTCTAATGTTTGGTTCTTATTTTGGTTTCAATAAATAACAATTACAATATATTACACATTTTGAATAGTAATGTGTAACGAGGCTNCAAAAATAAATCGGTCAAATTAAAGACAGGCCGTAAATAGAGAACGCAGGATGTTTATNCGCAGAATAATTCTTCTTCAGTAATTGTACTATAAAACTACGTTTCGATCTATGGATTGAATTGTCTTCGAGCTAAATATAGATATTTTACGAAAAAATTTATTTNCAATTGTGGGATTAAAGAAAGTTTGCAAGTTTTTCTCTATGAGAATCTGAACTACAAATTGGACACGAAGTTACATAGTTGTTACCCATCCGCTCCGCGGACAATTATGTGCAAGTTTATGTGACGTCTCTATAATTACAAATCAAATCGCAAAAGTGAGCCACAAACAACACGGTAACTAATAATGAATTCACAAAATTCTGACACTTCCTATTCTTATACATTTTCGATCTTATGACGTCAAAGATCTGACGTTTTGTAAATTTACGATTTTTTGTATATTTGTTTCTTGTATGTGTTTGTTTACTTTTTCGTAATGTCACTTTCTTTTTCACGTTAATCTATTTTAATTATTTGAACACTGGATATGTAACGATAATACTAATTGCCGCACTTGGAAATTTTCAACAAGATACGACAGTTACATCAATTATTAATTTGATGCCGAACTTGTGTTCTTTCAAGTCTCGAACAAGGCGTAGTATGCCGGTAACCAACGGCACGACGACAGATGCAGCCGCGATATCGATCAATGTTGTTGAAAATAAAAATAGCGCGGTAAGGAAAAAAGTGCATCAAATAGAAAAGCGTAACAAACGTAAAAAGGAAGAACCGCTGAACGAAGGGGATGAGATCACTCTGGAAGATTTGGCGCCAGATGGTGGCTGGGGATGGATGATCGCACTCGGGATGATATTAACTCAAGTTGGTATTGTATGGTTTATAACTGTATTTAAAAGTATCGCGATGTTTTATGAAATTTTCTCAAAAGCACAAAACATAGTGATTTGATAAATATATTTGTAAGAAACACTTGGCGCATTTTAGGTCACCATAATAGGCCCGCAATCGTCATTCGCCATTCTCTTCGGCGATTTTCTTGTTGAATCTGGAATGGAAGGCATGGCGTTAGGTCTTTTCAATGCCGGTTTCATGATTACATGCTCCGTCGCTGGTAAGCGCACGTGTGTGACGTACGTTAAATATTACATTAATTGTTGCATCATTAATAAATAAAAAAACTACTATATAAAAATCTAACATAAAAAGATCCCAATTGCGTAGTAAGAGCACGCGTGTACACTTTTTTCACGCAGAAGTTGATTTTGAAATATTTCCGCGAAAGAAATAAATTGTGTACCTCCACCATCGTACGATAAGAAGATCAAACGACTCCTGAAATAAGTGCAATCTTCTTATCGTCGGCATCGATGTTAAGCCGTAGCTTTTATTAAATATTTGCCGCAGCTTCTGGCGGCGACGTCCTTCCTAGGGAGATTAAATCGATTGTGTGCACGCTAAATCGAAGTCTTTGACGCACAATTTATAGCACGTGACGATATGTAATAACGTTTTGTTGAATCACAGTTTTATGATAAAAAAAGTGATTATGGTCACATTTATACGGGTAAAAAAACCCTGCAGTTCAATATACTCTTATTACTCTATGTCTGTTTAAGGATTATAAGAGAGAAAGACAGAAAGAAAAAAAAAGAAAGAGAGAGAGAGAGAGAGAAAGAGAGAGAGAGAGAGAGAGAGAGAGAGAGAGAGAGAGAGAGAGAGATAGAAGAGTACTATATTTCAAATAAAAAAATCTCTCTCTTTTTCTGTTAATTCTTTCTTGCTATCAATGAAAGCCTTCTCATCTACAAACAGTGTAAAGATAACACGTTTCACTTTAAGTAAGAACATTTCACTCTAAAAAAGTTTAGATCTCAGAGACAACATTATTATCGCGCACAACACGTTTTATATGCAATATATACGTTTACTTTTTGAGATAATATCATATAATGGACAATAATAATATTAATAGATTGATTAATGACAAAAATAATACGGTACAAAATTTAATAATAAAAGAAAAATAATTATCTCGTTAAAGAATGTATAAAATATTACTAATGAAAAATTACTAATAAAATATTTTTAATAATAAAATATTGTATTTTTCGTAATTAATTAACTGTGTACAAATATTATTTAGGCTTGTTTGCCAACATGCTATTGAAGAAATACTCCGCAAGACCGATCGGAATCGTGGGAGCGCTTTTTATGTCGCTGCCGAATATCTTTCTGACTTTCGTCAGAAATGTGTACGATATGGCGTTTCTCTATTTTTTACAAGGTTTCGGATTTGGACTCGTCATACCGACCTGCAATACAGTTTTTAACTCGTATTTCGTAAAGAAAAGAGCGAAAGTAAAGAAAATCATCAAACTTAATGCTCGTTTTATCTCTGATTTTTTTTTAAAAATGATAAAGTCACAATTTTGTTTTCTGTTTTCGTTCAGGTGACAAACGCGTCGCACGTTATCATCGCGTTGGGCGGAATTATTTTTCCCCCATTAACCAGGAAACTGATGACGATGTATGGTGTTCGTGGTAAGAGAATCACGAAGAACAAACAAATATCCGAGAAAAAGAGAGAGAAAACAATATTATTTATTTGTGAAAAAGCAACAAAATCACAAAAATAAATAATAATTGTTTTTCTTTAGGTACCACGGCGATCATAGGAGCGCTGGGTCTCAACACCATTCCCAGCATGTTGCTGTTCCATCCTGTGATCTGGCACGCCAGACCTTTGAGAGAAATTCTCGCTGAAAAGCGAGGTTTTGCTTTTTCTCTCGATAAAGCGCACGAGAAAGAAAAAACATTTGAAAAATTTCCGTTAAATCGTCGCTCGACCATTGATATTATCCACGTGTCCTTAAAAACCAAGTGGAGCAGTCTTCATAGTCTCAAGGAAGAAAGAAGCACCGAAACTCCATTATTAACCGAAGCTATTAAAGTAACGTTAATTGCAGATATTGAGCTCTGTGGTTACTTTTTTCTTATCATTTTTTATAACAATTAGTTTGACACTAATTTGTCAACTTTTCTTGAATCAGAAATCAGCGCAGAAGGTTGCGTCGATCTCAGGGATCGACTGCGGATTCCGCGAAAAGGCCGTAACGCAATTGTCTGTACAAAAGAATTTGACGCAGTCGACATCCAGTCTGGTCAATTTGGTCAATATTACGTCACGCGTTGAGGAATTACGGCGACGTTTCAAAGACGAGACATTCAATAATAAAAAAAGTTATCTGAAGGAGATTCTTGACATGTCGCTGGTGAAAGACTGGGCGTTCATGAATTTGAGCTGCGGCGTCAGTTTCGTGCTTACCGCCGACTACGCCTTTTCCTCTCTTCTTCCCATTATGATGACCGACGTGGGATACTCAAAAGACAACGCCACACTGACCGTTGTCATTAACGGAATGGCCGAGATGATGTCGAAAATTCTCTTGGCAGTTTTCTCGTTCGCGGTGAACGTGAAGGCGAGATACATATTTTTTGCGGGCACGATTTTTATGGAACTCGCGCGATTAGGTAAAATCCAACGTGTCATTAATTAATCGTAAACTTTAGTGCTTTCCAATAATAATAAGAAGTCCTGATTGTTTTTTTTTTTTTTTTTTTTTTTTATAGGATTTTTATTATTATACGATAATACGTTTGTGGGTGGAGTAATTATGACAGCGATGATCAGCGCCGTGCGCTCTTTGTTGACGGTTCAACAATGTTTGGTCATTATTGAAGATATACGCATTGAGAAACACGCATCGGCTTACGGCATCTTCATCGTTTTGTCAGGTTTGGTTACAGTGATCTTCGGAACTCTTGTAGGTAAGAAGAAATTTTCCTATCGTGTATAAACACAGACAGCACAACAAGTCGAAAGATATCGCGAAAAATGTTCCAAACAAACGTCTATTGAATTCTTTTAGTCTATTTTTAAATATACAACGTTTTTGAGAACTTTTGTGCTGTCTGAGAGTTATGTATCTTGCTTTACGCACGTCTTTTACAGGATTTATAAAGGACTGGACAAATAGCTTCAAGATTTACCAGGTTTCTCTACTCGTGATGAATGCCGTGTTTATCGTACCTTGGGCTGTGCAATTTATCTTGAAAGACTTCAGGAAACGAAGCTCGCCGGAAAGTTTAACACATTCTTAATGAAAACTCGAATTGTTAGGTAAAGAAAATAACGCTGAAATAGAACAAATTGATCCTTTTGATTTTTTTTTTTAAGAATATGTTTAGTAGTTTTACTATACAAAAGATCTCGCAAAGATCTCGAGTGCACGTTGTATATACCGAGTTTTTATATATACTATATATACCTACGCGCATTGTATGTAAATATACATTTACAATTAAATGTTCAAATTATTACACGACTAAAAATTCTTTGAAAACATCAAGCAATACGTAGCTCGTAGAATAATAATTTTGTTATCGTGTGTTTATCGATCGGCAAATATAGATGGATAAATAATGAGTGTACATTCACCGTTGTGCAATGTTTTATTTGCTCAGATTAATTTAAATTACTCTTAGTAGTCGTTCTAAGAAAACGAACTAGAAGCATATAAATAAGGTGACAACGTGTACATACCACGGTATATTATATAATATACAAATTGAAATATACAGAAATACACAGTTTACTTCAAATACATAAATGGTATGTTACGCGTGCACACATTCTGAAAACATAAATAAGCAAATCGTTAAAAAGAAAAACCATTACTTAGTACATTAAAAACACGTTGAACGCTTGGAACGTTAGTCGAGCGAAACAATCTATATTTTACTTTTATCGAGCAGTAATGTAAAAGAAACCAATTTTTTTAACATATTAATTTATAAATTTACATCTTAAAAAATTGATATTAGACATATACCCGTACCTAAACACTTTCCCTCAGATAGCAACATAGCAATAGAATGATAAAGTGCGAAAATCAACAATTTTTCTCACCTAAAGGACATATTCACGCTTATGCGGAAACGGAAGTTGATTCTGGCTTGCGCGGCTCGAGCCTGATCTTAAATCCGTCCTCTCTCTTCAGGATGATGTCGGCTCGCAGCTTGAAGTCTTTGTAGTGCGTGTCGGAAATTACGCGGTAATGTCTCAATATTGTTGACAGAAGAACTTTTAACTTCAGCATGGCGTACTTGCGTCCCACGCACGATCTTTAAAAATGTCGACAAGAGCGCATTCGTTCAATTTTATTACAAAAGTGTAAAATCGCGCGGATTCGCAAAACTACTTAGTCAAACATACCTCGGCCCGGCACTGAAAGGAATGTAGGCGTAATAGTGTCTCTTCTGCATTCTCTCCGGTAAGAAATTGTCCGGATTGAAAACTCCCGGATTCGGATAATGTTTCTCGTTACGATGTATTAAGAGTTGTCCGATCACCACTGTGACATTCTTTGGAATAACGTAATCCTTTGTAACTAAATGACACAAATAAGAGTAGAATAGCGTCTCTTTTTTCTGCAAAGTTCGCAACAATCTGCGTATGATCGAGTAAACATACCTATCTTAATGTCTTGATTGAGAGATCTAGCGATTATCGGTACCGGTGGGAAAAGTCTCAGGGTTTCTAAAATAACTCTTTCGAGATACTTCATTTCCAAGGTGTCCTGATAGGTGCACTGTCTGTCGCTGTCGCCGAAAATTGCGTCCAGTTCTTCGTACACGCGAGCCTGAAAATTCATGAAAATAAAATAATTAGAACCGTAAAAAACCCGCATCGGTATATATCGAAATTGAATGATATCGATTTCGGAAAAAAACCGATACAAAATGAACGTTGCGCAATGCGACAAACGGGGCACAGGGTGAGTTATTGTGTTTCAATTCTAACAAATTTGAAACAGTAGGAACTTGAATAACAAGTCGACAATTTGCGTCATGGTTGGCGATTCGGTCAACGGTAAGAAATTGTTTATAAAGATGTGCGCTGCGTGTCACACCACGGAAAAAAACGCTAAACATAAGGCAGGTCCTAACCTGCATGGTATTGTGGGCAAAATTTGCGGGAGTAAGTACAGAAAAATTTTCGAGCGCGCATATCATGCACAATCTATGTTAATGCAAATTTAACAACTGGGATCACAGACAATAGTACAAAAGTTTATTCTGATTCTTCTATTCTTTTTACAGCCGTGCGGGGATTCAATTTTTCAAAAGGCATGAAAGAAAAAAATGTTATCTGGAACGAAAAGACTTTAAATGATTACATGGAATTTCCCAGAGAATTTATTCCGGGGACAACAAAGATGTTCTCCGTTAAAAAAGCCGAAGATCGAAGAGATCTGATCGCGTATTTGGCTACGTTGAAATAAACAAAACAAATAAATTTTTTTTGTGAACTAAAAACATACCTGAACTTCTGGTTGACATCCTAACACGCACATTGCGAAACTCGAGCCGGCTGCCGTGGTGTCATGACCCTGTGAACAAATCGAAGAATAATAGTGAACAAAGCGTGGAAGTCGATTTATTCGATCGAGTTTTATCATCGCTTTATTGAGTCAACTTGAGTCGGCTTAACAATGCAAATCGCTACAAATAGAAGTTCCAATAGAAAGAGAAAACTTAAGTACACAGGTATACGCATTCAAACATTTATTTTAAATTTAATGTTGCGACAAATAAGTCATACCTCAAACATGATTGTGTTTACTTCCTCCCAAATTTCCTCATCGGTCATTTGGCCGCCATTCTTCTTCATTTCCAACAACAACTCCAGAAATGCAAGTCGCTTCTTCTCGCCCACGTCGTTCTCATCAATATCGTCGAGATCATCTCTAACATAATGCAGTTTTGTGTAATTAGCATCGTCACTTATATTGGTCGAGCTTGTATCTGTCGGTTTGTTATTTTGTTCTTCTTCTTTTTGCTGCTGGCCCTTCGCGAGTTTCTCCTCAAAATCTATTTTCTTTTCCTTGATCACGTTATTCGTTAGTGTGTGAACGGTGTTAAGAAGTTTTTTCTGCAATTTGGCGAATTTGGAAAATTGGAACAGTATGTCGTAACGTAACGACATGTCGTAGTGCCTCCGATGCAAGATGTCGGACAATCTGTTTTTATGCGAGAAATTACACATTTATTTTCAAGAAAAAAAAATATCTGATGAAAAAAGCGACAATACTTACTTCATCACAGCCATGGCGTAGTCATAACCAGTCTTTTCCCTTTTTTCTCGTTTCACTCCCATTGCCGTTTCGGTTAAAATGTCAACCGTTACCGCTGACAAATAATCGTGGCAATCGAACTCTTTTCCAAGTTCGTTACGGAACTTTTTCACAAGCTCTATGCTATTCTCGTAAAACAATGGCACAAAAGTCTTCAGGATATTCATATGGAATGTAGGCGCTATCGCTTTTCTGTGTTTACGCCATTTATTGCCGGTTGTAATCAACAAGCCGTCGCCAAGCCATGGTTTGAAAAATCTACAACAAAAAGAATATACAAGCAAAACTCGAGAATACGTTATAGAAGAATATCAAGAATAAGAGCCTCTGCTTTCTCTCTTTCTTTCTCTTTTTTTGTTTCTAATAATTTTACGTATAAAATTAAAATAATATATAGAGTTTTATTTTAGTTTATTTAGATTATATACAATTTTACCGATATTCTTCGGATTTGTCGAGATGCACAGAACTGCCCAAGATCAGTTCAATATCGCGCGGATCTGATAAAAATATCATCACTTTTGTTCCAAAGTTTACTTTCAGCACCGAACCATAAGTTTCATGATACCCTAAACCTTTAGTTAACACTTCATGGGGAGAGTGTCTAAAAGTTATATACAGATGACCAAATATAGGTATAGCTGGCGGACCTAGAAAAGCAAATAATAAATTAAAAAGCAATTTATATTAAAATATAAATTTTACGAGCGCATAAATTTATCAGAATGGAAATCGCAATGTCGATGAAGATTGCAAAAAAATGACTTAGCATTTATTAACTTAGAAGTATATTTACCTGGAATATTTCTTGTCAAACTAATTGGTCGAGAAGTCTCGATGTAAAAGTACAATGCGATCAGCAATCCGACAATTAGAGTCAGCACAGAGAAAGTTATATTTGGTAAGGTCGACGTTGTTTCGGGAATCACATCCATTGTTGCGACAATATATTAATCCTGGTTCTCAATTCACACTTGTACACTTTTCTAATATAAACATTAAAAAATTATATACGAACAACGTTAATAATAACAACGGCACTTTAGCAAGAATGTTTTGCTAACTATCATCTGACAATAAAATAAACGAAAACAGTTAACGATACATTACCACGCTTTCGACTTGCCAAACGAAGAACGAAAGTCGTACTGCTTTAGTTCTAGCCAAAGATCGGAAATTTATAAGCTAGCAGTGAGGAAGTATAAAGTACAATAATCATTATTATTCTCCCCGTCTTTTCTTATTATGCGTGTTCGATGACTTAAGCGAGGTCAAATTATGCACATTATTAAGTAAAAATTTTGCATTGTTTATCTTAAGTGCAGAGTCATCAATTTTATTTCTCCATTCTATCGTTGGTTTATATTCTATAACAGACATAAATGTCACTGCAAATTTTGAAAAGTGATGAGATATAAAAATAACATTAGAAACAACGCAGTTATTTTAAAATAATGAGCAAAAATGTTTGTAAGTTATGCACATCAGAAATATCAACTATTTAAAAACGTTATTTTGACTATTTCCCATAAATTCTACATATAAAACTATATTTTTAATGTATTTTTTTATGCATATAATTTTTTTAAATTAAATAAAATCTTCCTTTCTCTCTCTCTCTCTCTCTTCAGCTACAGGAATTGCATCAAAACACAGATAATTTAATAAAATGTATTTTAAATATATTTCATAAAAAGATATATGTATAAGAAGTACAAGATCGTAGAATTACAATAAGCTTAATCAAAAGGCACTGATATGTACAAACATGTCAATAGAATAATAAGTAGTCGTGAAATATATACGCCATGAAATTTACAATCAATCGTAAGCTTAAACTTCACACACACGTCCGAACTTACTTTCTCTCCCTCTTCTACATAATACTTTGATCTTACATAACTTAACTCCACAGACGAGAAAGAGAAGAAAAACAGTCGAGTATTGTAACGCACTTCCAGCAAGCAATGTATAACACATTTACAACAAGGATAATATTTATTATAATCAAAACTTATTAATACAACTCACGATTTCACATGAAGATTTGTATAAAATTGCGCGTGTGCATTATATATTGAGTCATTAAGCATGAAACTTGACACAAATACATTTAATTAGGCCAGTATTCATAGAATCTTATATTTGTGTGTCAAGTTTTATACTTAATTATCCCATATTGCGATTATAATAAACGCAATTGTATAAGTTAAAATACATTTATAACAATTTCGTCGTGTCCGGTAAGCAATCGCGTTTGTGATAAAAATACATTAATATTTAAGTGTGAATGGAATCGAAATGGAATTAAGACACATCAGTATATACAATAGTGATCGCTTAAGAGTCATAGAATTTATCCCCATCGCATTCCGACGAGCAGATCTTGAGCGTTGTTTGGTCTACATTGTCTAGACTTGGCATTTCTTTTATTTTAGGTAAATGTAATGTCATCGTAGATTTTGCAGAATGTTCTGTCACTCTTGGTGCACTCTGTTTTTATCTCGACCACGTCGAGCTGGATGGAGATAAACGGATCAGTTGTGTTTACGCTGCTGTCATCGCAATCCCCCGAGTTAGTGACAACTGCGCAAACGCTATATTTTTGTAGCTACATAATGTCTTTTTCTTTGAATATATTTAAAAAAATATTAAATAAGTTTCCTTAAAAGTTTACATTAAAAAATATTGTTGATTGTTATTTAATCGCATTACAATGAATTTTGAATGAACCATTTTTCAATAGTCAAACAGATGGCACATTTGATGCCCATAAATATAATACAATAGTATCGTATATTTGTATAGTTTAAACATTCCGTAAAAAAATTCTCGAGTACAAAATATCGGTGTGGTTTATCTCTCTTACGTGATTACTTAAGGCACTTATATTTACAAATCTTTTGATTATGTCTCGCAGCATTGAAATGTAAACCTTAGCTTTATAAGCATTAGAACAAAATTTAATCTTATTAACATCACACGAATTAATAGAGGACATTACGTAATAATAATATATCGTATGAGAGGATAATATAAATAAATATATTAATAATAATTTATTATATGTAAGTAATATATTATATGATAATATATTGTATATAAATATATTATTACATAATATGTTACATATTGTATGTAAATAATTATATTATATGATAATATATTGTATATAAATATATTATTACATAATATGTTACATATTGTATGTAAATAATTATATTATATGATAATATATTGTACGTAAATATATTATCACATAATATTGTAATGCATTAAATATATACATCTGCATATATTTAACGTACACATTTATATACATGATTATATATTATTAATTATATTCTATATATAATTATATTAATACATAAAATAATTTACGCTTATATAAGTACATACTATTATGTTATGTACTTATATATTACGTAATGTCCTGTATCATTTCTCTAATAATTAAAGTTCTCCTTTTTCTTCATCTACATCTTATATATTGTCACTTTTATATTATTTAAAATATATATATGTATGTAAACTAAAATAAATTTTAAATTTATATATACTAAAATTGTGCAATAATAAAAACACACCATGTAATAAATAGTTTACAAACATTTTGTCTTTAAATAAGAATGTCACATTTTTTTCACAGAACGAACATGCAAAAATTTAATGCAATAGCGTATCAACATTCAATGATATATCTGTACAACAAGAATATCTTCTGTTTTACAGCACGTTATGTTGGTAGATGTAGACTCATCGTTATTTTTTGATTTTTGCATAAAAAACGATTGTGTAAGTATATTCAAATTTATATAACTAAGTTAATTGTACTTGGTGCAAAGTATATAAATAGCCAAATACAAATAAATATTTTTTATCTGGAAGCGCAAAATGTCATTGCAGAGAAGAATTATATATTATATATATGTAAAATATATGTCTTTCTAATAGTTCGCGAAGAAGAATAATTATAATTACAGTGGAAGTTTGCATGAAATTCCTCAGAAAACGACATGCTTAGTGATATGAAAATTTCTCTGTCACACGTAATTACAATTAAATTAAGAGAGTTTACTTATTTTAGATAAATATACATATTACATGTAAATTGTTTATTTTAAATAAAGATACAATATGTATCCGTGACGTTTTATCTACGTTACGCGAATGATTTGTAAAACACAATAAGAGTTTGGCAGTAAAATACTTGTAACAGTAAGTACAATTTTTGCTACTAATCACAAAAAATATATACATATATATTTCTCTCGTATATTTGTACGTGTGGTTTCGTAAGTAGATTCTCGTCCAGGTTTATAGTGAGATCATACGAAATTTCATTGTAAGACGTATTAAATCTTAAATCTTGATTATTAAGGCGGTAAAAGTGGACCTCGAATGCACCGATCATTCCTTATTGGAGCCTGTAACTAAAAACAAAATTAATCATTTTAATATTTTGCGTCACGTGATGTGTAGATCAAAATATTTAAATTTTTATTTAAAGTTGATTTTTTTAAATTTTAATTCACTTCGAGCGTATAAATATCACAAACATTTTGCTTCTGTTCACGAAAGCCAATACGAGATTTTTTTCTTTCAAGAACAACCGTTACTATTTGAGAGCCACGAACCCTCGTCGAAAATTTATATCGAAAGAAAATAGTTTCTATCACAATTTTCGTAATTCTGGAAGCAAAAAGAGAGGGAACATAGATTCCCCGTTGTATCTCCGAGAGATCCTTTGTCCCCCGTCTCGCTATTGTGATCCGTTTCTCGCTGCATCACGCGAAAATCCTCGTTTACCTGAATCGACGGAGAATTAAATTCGGAAACGAAGCGAACGAATCGCGCACCGCGGAAATCCCGTAGATGTATCCCCCGGATACATCGTGGGAAAAAACGCATGTACAAATAATGTGGCAAATCCTCATTTTTCTCGTAAGAGGAAGAGCACGGGGTGAGAAAGAAACTATTGTGCAGATGCGAAGAAAGAGATGTCAAAGATTCAAGCATTTTTACAGCACATGTGTGCGTCGAGAACGAGCTCAGTATTAAAAATAAAACTCACATATGTATAAGTTCCGTGTACATATATATATATATATATATATATATATATATCGAGTTTCAATACTGGCGGTCTTTTGGCAAAGACAGTTTGATGATAAGAGATGTCGCCTTTCTCTCTGTAGCCGCACAAGCGCCGAGAGAATGAAGTGTATGTAAAAAAAAAGTGTGTGTGATAGTATACGTAAGTGGCGAGAGATAAATTGGAGGATCTGCCACACCAGCGCTATAAAGATCCTAGGAACCGACACGTGAGAAGTATGCTTTGCCGAAGCACTCGTTTCGAATCTGGAAATCCTCGAACTAGTTTCGTTTTATCTGACACACTTTATCGCGCTTCGATAAATGAAAGAAAAAACACACAAAACACACGTGTGTGTCTCAAAACATGTGTCTCACAACCACGTTTTTTCGAGCGTGTAACGAGAGACGACTATGTTTATACATTTCCCATGTACGCACATTTTGTTTAACAATTAAAATCGTTCAATTCGAGCAATAAAATATACACGTTATATTGTTTTATCAATTGAAACGCGTACATACTCTTGAAAGAGCTTGAAAATGATAAAATTATATATAAAAGTAGATTGTACACAAAATTTACTACATATATTTTTACTACATATATTTTTCCATTGCTGGAAAAAACATCGAGAGTCTCTTACAATATACTAAAATTGATTCCAAACAGTCGCTGTCGGTTTTTTTAAACTGCCATGCTGGTAATGTTTATTGATAAGATAAACAACATGCGGGCTCCACCAGCATAATTGTTCGTTGGATTCTTTGTGCTGTTCTACGTCCGTGAAACAAGAAGAAGGCAGAAAACTGACTTTAACGATCGTTATAGACATTGTTCTACGTGCTTATTTCACGACGCAGTTTGTGCTAATCTCACTACGAGACTTGTTAATTTATTTGCTGTATCTTTTGAAAACAGCTGTTTGGAATATATATAAGCTCTTTAAATGTTTAAAGTGCAATAACATCATACACCGTATGTAAAGTCAATTATTTCTTTTCAGTCACATATATAGTAAAAAATTTTAAATGTTTTATAATATTTACAGAATAAAACAGTAAACGTTTAAATAACCAAAGAAGCTACTCTTCTCCTGTTTCGTTATTATTTATTTTAATAAAGTAAATTTATAGTCTTGCGTTGTAGCCCGAAGGGTTGAAGAAAAATTTTCACGATTACGCTCGCCGCAGCACGTAGCCGTATCTCACGCCGTGTTTAATCTCTATAATACGTTTCAATTACTAAACCAAGACACGATCATTATTTATTCCAACTTTTCGCCTGCAGCTTCCCGACCACCCTGCACACACTCCTACCGCGATCTCTCCCGTGTTCAATTAATTATCATGATTACGGTGGATTATCTCGCGCTTAATTCGCGTAACGCATTTCCGTTATTGGTGTAATACGTTATTCAAAAAGAGGATTTAATTGGACTGCCCGGCGGCTCGAGCGGGGAGAGAGCGGAGGGAGATATAGACTCCTCTCGAATTAACGCGGGGTTAAGGCCTGGGCCCTCGTGCCCCTCGCGGCGCTGTCCTCGCGAGACGAAGTCTTTAAAGCGAAAAAGAAAACGGTCACAGCGGTCTCACCCACCGATATACCGGGAGAGAGAGCCAAGTAAGGAATTTATTAAATTAATTTGACGCGCTAGAGAAGAAAGAAAGAGAGAGAGAGACAACGCATCTCGTAAACTTCGTAGATGACCTCACTTTATAATTGTCGAGAATTACTTGCTGGCCGCTCATTCCAGACCCTCGCGCGAAGCTTCTTGCTCTCTGCGCTTTTTGTTGTGCCGATAAGTTTCTACAATAACGTTTTGCTGAAAATAAATAATTAAACAAACAACGTGCGCGCGGCGCGTGTTTAAAAAAAGAGAGATAAATTTTTTTTTTTGAGAAAATTTTTAAATAATTAAATAAATAAAAAAAAACTACAAAGGAATAATTAAAAAGATTATCGGTGACAAAATTACTCATCGTATAAATTGTAGCACGTAATAAATTTGACTATTTCAGTGGGAAAAAAAGATGACATTATTTTTCAAATCATAACGAGATGACACGAGATACGTGACTTCAAGAGCAAAAATTTTGATGAAGCGTGATATGGCTATGAGACTGGGCGTTTTTAAATCATCATGCGACACATATGTCAGAAGCGGCGGCAATGCAGCCTCTGCTCGCCCTTCAACATATATGTATCCAAGCACTCTGCTGTTCGGCTGGCACGTGGGTGCTACGCACGTTTCTAAGGAAACCGCGACTTCTATTTGTGGCGCAGGCGACTGGCACCGCCTGCCAGCTGATTTTTTTTGTCCCGTTGTAATCGCGCACCCCAGAATCGAATGCATCCGTTATTGTAACGTTTCTTTTGCGATTCCAAGAACCATATTCGATCGAAAACAATTTTATGCGCGCGCAGAAATATTATCGAAAACGTAAGTACAAAGAAATAGAAAAAAAAAAAATAAAAGCAAATAGCGATAAAAGTTTTTGATAAATCATTAAAATTTCAGTTTTGTATAAGTGTTTTAGGTTTTTATGTAATTATTTTAAGCTCTTCGAATGATTTTACCAAAATTCTATTTTATTTTTAAAAAAATATTAAAATTAATTATCAGCCACGCGCGCGATGTTTACGCGCATAGATAAGTTCATCGTGGTTGTGAACAATCTGAAAATTGAATTCCAAGTAAATTCGTGAAACGAAGCAGCTCGATCTCGTGAGAAACAAGCACGTGTTAGATATTCACGAGAATTGATGACTGGCAATTGGAGACTAAAGGAGATTGAGGAAGGTCTGGTTGTGTGAGATATTTCAAGAAGAATATTCAACATATGGCTAGACGTTCCGCCGCTTCCGTTCGTGGTTGCACGCTTTTAAGATGACACGCCATGATCCACCACCGGCCATGTGTCCCCCAAATTGCATACTGTAGACCGTTAACGTTACTTTGCCCTTCGATGCATACTTAGCACAATGAGAAATGAGAATACAAAGTCATCGAGAAAATAATACGATGTATGCCTCTTTAAGTTTTTAAAGAGCTCTTTGAAGGAAACATTTTTCTAAATTTAAATTATTACATAAAGAAGAATAACAACGATATAATTGAACAAAGAAGATTGAAACAAAGACGATCAAAGACCTCGTAATTTTTTCTAGCAAATTAAAATATTTACGCGAGTGTTTCTATCAGAAACATATCTACGCTTTGTTTTGCCGATCGCAAAGGGATTTCCCCGACAAAACAGCCGCACAGAAGAGATCCGTGACATCAAAGTGTCACGTTGGCACGTACTTCGCAAAGTGGTTTCGGTGCGTAAAGTTTATTTTCGAGCTTGACACACCGACGTAGCACGTGTTCAGAACGAAGAGTCGAACACGAGTTTCCACTTGGCGGCGCTTCCGCGACGCGGGCATCACGTGTGCATCCTGAATGCGTCAGAAACGCAACTCGCAACACCCGCTTAAAACAGACACTTTCAGACCCTTACCGCACGCTTATCAGTTTTTTTTGCAAGAAAGAGAAAATTGCAGGAAACGGAAAAACTCGCAATAAAGTTGATCAAATTTCTTTTGTAAAATAATTCTAACAAAGAAATAACTTCTTTATCCATGGTAAAATAAATTTAAGTAGATTTTTAAAATGTTCGGAATGTATAAAAAATATGATCTTTCATGTAACAACACTGATGATCACATATGTGCGTTGAGTGCAAGAGTAAAATTATTATTTTATCAGTAACATACAATTTTACATTTACTTGTGTTGAGTGTCTCTGAACGTTGTCGTTTAATTTATTTTTATATCAAGAGACTAACGTCCCTCGTACTTGAATGCGGTAGCAGTAAAACTCGTCGGAAACTCACCTACGGTTTACACGTGCGTCAGCCGTTGCGTGTGTTGCTGATGAACAAGTCTGCCCTGTTCCTGTTCCCACCAGCTGACGACATCCATGAATTCCCCCGTCTCGGTGATCTCTTGCTTGTAATAAAGGGCCCCGGAGAAGGTCTCCGGACTAGTCGCGTAGACGGTCGCCGTGCCCTCTTCGCTGTCCCCGGCGCCGCTGTAGGGTGACAAAATTTGCGGCTCCAGATTCTCTTCGTTTTGAGCGTAATACTCCGACGGCGGCGAGGCCACCGAATTCGGCGACAGTCTCGAAAAGTTCTGTCCGCCAACTATTGTTCGCGGCTCCAGATTCTCCTCGTCGCCCGCCGACGATGCATAATAGTCGCGTGGTGAAGAAATAGCCGTTCGATTAGGAGATAATCTAATAAGAAAACAAAAGTGACACGAGTAAGTAAGTATTTCTTATTATATTGCGACTAAGTTAATAAATTCAATGTGAAGCTCAGATAAATTGTCGGGGCAAAATCTCTGTCGAAACTACAATATATGTAACCCTTCCTAAGTTTTTAAAAGCGAAAATCTTAAAAAATTATTTTTCTAAACGACAGTTTTGTAGTTTGCCTCAAATATTCGCTTCAATTTGTATCAGTCCTTACCTGGCCAATGTGATGATCTTCGATTTTTTACTCCCGTCCTCTTCTTCGTCCAGTTGTTCTCTTTCCTCATCTTCCGTGGCGAGCACGTCGTCCTCAAGAACGAGTCTCTCGCCGGAGCCGTTGTGACTCGAAGAGACGATGCTACCGGTTGGGGAAGGAGCGCATTGCGCGCCTACAGTGGTCTTGGATTCGTATTCAACGCCGTCCGCCTCGGCCAGGAGCCTCTGTAGGCCTCTAATGTATTCCACAGCCATTCGGAGAGTCTCCACCTTTGACAGCTTCTTGCCCCTGTCGCCGTAACCCGCGGCTATGTGGCTCGGAATGTGCTGTCTTAATGTGGCGAAACCGTTGTTCACTTGTTTCACACGGTTCCTCTCTCTGGCGTTTCTCCGTGCAACGGCGACGGGCGGCGGTTGTCCGTTTTTGCCGTGTTTCTTCAATCGAGACGGATCGTAAGGGGGTAACACTGTCGCGGAATTCGTTGCGTTGTTGGGGCCGCCGCCGTTTTTCGGAACTATCAGCGGCTGATTGCCGATAATGTTGTTCTCGTTATCTTGCAACGTTCGCAGCAACATCAGTTGCTCCTGATCGTTGCCGTTTATCTGCACCCTGTTGCAGAACATCGTTACCCCCATGGTCGCCATTGTTTCTCTCTTGTTTTCAACAGATTTCTTGTTAGCGGGAGACTTTGTGGAATGCGTGAACTATCATTGAAACTCCACGATGTTGTTCCAAACTGGAAACAAATAATTCCCTTATGATATGTTTTCCGAGCAATCGTAGTAATAAGCAAAAAAAGTAAACGGATGTTTGTAATTAAATAAATCATGAATAACAAGACTACGTATCACCATCAGCAGCGAAAAATATCGCGTTTCATATGTGCCGCTGTGCCGAGTAATTTCCACAATAGTGTTCATTAAACGGGTTGCGTTTGGACCGCAAACTCAACCGGTCGATAAACGACACTAATGCTCGTCGAGGACGAGACTAATTGCCGGACTTATAAATAAAACTCGGTTCTCTCTCTCTCTCTCTTGTCGGAGACAAAGGCGATTATCGATTCAGACGAGGTTGGACAAGACGCGTCGCGATTGAGTATCAATTTGAATCTGGGTCAAACCTGTCGCTCGCGGAGAGAAAAAAATGCTATAAATCATTTATCGCGCAGATTTAACGCACATAATAATTTTAAACTGTTGATTAATAACGTTTTCTTAAATGTCTGTCGCAAAGACGTCAACTGCGTTAGACACAGACCTCCGGTCTTCCGGAGTAATTGACAATTGACTGTTGGTTAGATTGTTGGCGGGAATTTTTTGATTGAATTTCGCGACAAAGAAATGCAAACAAAAACTATTTTTTCGATGTAGGTCTCTTTGCGCGATAGATTCTGCAACTTCTACTAACCCATGAAGCTGATGACCCGAACCGAGATCTAATTGTCTCGCTGCCGGTCGACACGGCTTAAGTAAAGCATGAGGTCACCGTCTATTCTTCTCCGCGACGGTCGTCGACTCCTCGGAAACTATTATACACATCTCCCAAAACAAATTTTACATCGCAAATTGTCAGTGTTTTTCAAGATAAATTTCTCTCCAACATCGAGCAAGTGAAATTATGTTTCCGAACTGATTGCGAAACGATTGCGGATAAACTCTTACTAAAACTTAGGATTTTCTAAATAAAAATATTCATGGGAAACAATCTCTGGTTTATTATATATATATATATATATATATATATATATATATATATATGTATGCATGTATATACACATATATATATATATTATATGTATTTATTTATAAAATAAATAAATGTCTTGAATAAATTAATGCTTACCAAAGAATGGAGCAACTTCCGTGGTGATTTTTAATTCAATTAATTTTGCCGGTCACAAAAGTAAAATTTCTCAAACAATTTCACACACAACACGTTCAACCTTTAAATCTTATTTACAGAACAACAACATTGTGACGAGGCGAAAAATCTCACTAGATAAAAGGCACTTGGAGGGAATAAAAAAATGTGAAAAATTCTTCGATTTACGCTTCGTCTTTTATGGCGACAGTTTTTTGTGTTATTGTCGATGTTACAGCACGCTTTCGTGGTCAAAAAACTGTGAAACGTTGATTTACGCGATCAGTGCATTTTGAAACAAACCAATATCCGTGTATCGATCGTGAAATCGATCTCACTACTACCGGTCACCGATGTCATCCATTCCAAATTGTTCGTGGAACGACATTCAATGAGAAACAGTGATCGATGCCAGTTGATCCAATGCCCGAACGAACAATAATTTGCTCCTCTGAAGTTTTCACGGCTTTAAACATCAGTAAACGTAAGACTGTCAGAATCAATTTTGTATACGGAATTGTCAACGCACGAGCACACACGAAAACACACAGTTAACGTTCACTATTGAATCGATTCTTGACAACCTTCACTTGCAAAATCAAACAACAATTCACACGATTGGTGTTACAACAGATGTGCCACGTGCAACAACAGATTGATAATCAATTTCACATCGACCAACAAATTGTGAAATACGGGAATTCCGGGGAGAGATCAACTTGGGAAGAAGCAACTGGAAGAAGCTCCTCACGCCGGAAGGAAGATCTTCACGATCTTGCGTATTCACCAGGCACTTCTGTGTTGTTCGCCTCGATCATGCCTCCATGCTATGCACTACATGGCGTTCGCGTCGAGAATGAGCGGCGGACATCGATAGATGGGTCTCAGCATTTTGCCGCACCGCGCCGGGTTGGTGATCGCGGGGTTGGCACGAGAAGGGAGAAGGGCGCCCATGCGCGAGAGAGGAAGCGAAGTGTGTAATGCCCATGAGAGAGACGAGAAGAGAGGAAGTGTAAAAGGGAGATGGTAGGGATTTTCAGCACGCGCCTCGCAGCCCCTCGTTTCTTCTCCCCCGGAACTGAAAAAGGGGGACCGTGCGCGCCATATGCCGGGGGAGAGAGAGCGTGTGCCGGTTGCGCGACTACATGTGTGGGTCTGACGGGCCCCGAGAATAAACGCGCGATCGCCCAGCACATTGGTGCGTGCGTGTGTATACGTACGTACGTACGTACGTGCGTGCGTGCGTGCGTGCGTGCGTATCTTAGCCGCAATTACCGCTTCTCCGTACTACCGATGACGTCGCCGGCCTCAGAAGACCGTATGAAAGACAAAGTAATCCCGATAATCTAATGGTAATTGCACGCGGCGGTTGATGCGCGATTAAAGTAGGCTGTATTATATACCTTGTTCTTTGTTGCCTTCACATTGATGCGCGGCGCGTGTCACCGAACACGAATTACTACTAATTGTAAGTATGTACAACGTTTACGTTGTTAGCGTTTAATCTGTTTAGAGTCTGATCATAATGTATTCGGCACTTTCTACTTGCTTGCAATCTACACTAAAAAAACAAAATCTAATATTATGGTTTTGCATCTCAAGTGACGTTTGTCATGTTATTTTTCTATTTGCACGTGGATCCTGATCTATTCGCTCAATTATTCATACAATAAAAAACGAGAGAAGAAAAATCTCGATAAAGTATTTTTATAATATTCTCCATTTAGTCTGTATACGCGGCAAAAGACAGGAAGAGCCGCACTCGTTGCATCGCGGAAGTTTCGTGTTTCGGGGCGGTGCATCTCGTGACACTGACACACCGAATACGAAGTATGATTTTTTCATTCAGGAAGAACGGGAAATAAATTTACCGGCAAATGTTAGATCGTTCGCGTTTTTGCTTTTACTGTGACAGCAAAATCTCGTAAATTATTTTTTGCTCGTTTTATCGCACAATTGTGGTTATTTTTAAAAGTATTCATTTTTTTATTCGTATCTTTGCAACAAGATTTAAAATTTGATTTTAATAACTGAGATATTTTATTAAAATTTTGAAATGAAAAAAAAAGCAACAGAATTAGACGCGCGCGCCTAATAAGCAAGTAAATTTTATGCGCATACGTAAATTATAATTTAAGAAGCAACCGCGCGATAAAAAGCTCTTTATGCCGCGAAGCTGTGCTGATTATGCCGAGGGGATGTCAAGGGTTCAGGATTTGACCTAGATCTAGTTCGCATTTGTGCGCATCTAAAACCTGAGAGAGCCTAAACCGACCGTGCAACTAAAATAGGAGAGGCCCGAATTTACAATACAGATTATATATAAAGTAGGGCGCCCTTTACAAAAAAAAAAACCCTTGCGCAGAATTTTAATTCCTTATCTAAACCGAAAATAATTATTTATAAAAGCTCGTGTGTGCGCGCACCCTTTAGAAAAAAATTTCTAAACTCGTTACTGCAACTTGTAAATTTGACTTAATAAATTTTATGAATATAAATAAAATATGTAGTTCAATCCGCAATTACGAGTCGGTAATTTTAGACGACGGAGGGATGAAGCGAGATATCATTTTCCGTTTCATAACAGCTGGAAGAAATCTGTTTATGGGAATAACGTGGAACGAGAGGAGACTTTTCCATAAGCGAAGGAAGATCTGCTCTCTTCCCATACAGAGGATTAACGCAATTCGTGTGCAAATGGTTCGCACGTGACACCGGATAAGTCCTCGGCGGCGGTTAAGACGATGATTTATGAAATCTTGCTCGATATTTTTCATCTTCCTCTCGTTATTTTTCATCGAAAATGAGCCCGCACACGAGTTGTCGCACATGATATTCATTAGAAACGACGATGAAATATTATATTCTTTATCTGTCAAACGGGACGACGTTAATCACACGTCATGAACTCTGCGGAACGTTATTATTCTTCGTCTGACGCGCAACGACGCGTGATAATAGCAAGAGTTTACGCGCGCGTGTAACGCACCACGTAGGAAAACACACGCGCGAGGACTAAAAAGCGATACTTGCATACACGCATCAGGTATTGTTGTTGCGAATTTCGCTTAAGCAGCGTATTTTATTGCACGTTAAACGCGCGTAACTTTGCGATTATCATTCACGAAGATAACGTATATCGAGCGCTCGACTATTCGAGTCCGACGCCAAACAGGACGGAGCCGAAAATCGCACCCAGCTCTTCCTCGGAAGAAGAGAACGCGCAAAACGGCGACTCGTAAAGTCTCAAGATATGTTGATCCCGGTGGTCTCTTTTGCGAACGGAATATCAAATATTTTTCAAAGAACGGTATACGCGCGCGCGCAGGCGAGTTCTTCCTGGGCGCGCTCAAAAGGCGATCCCGAGCACAAAGTGATCTGATCCTGACTTACGTATCCAGATCGGTCGTATCTTCGATCGGTGTTCCCTTTCTCCCTTGGTTCTCCCGTGTATCGTGGAGTTTCGGTATTATCGAGCGGGCGCATCGATGCCGCTTCGCGACCGTCCGACTGATAAGTTTACAGGCTCATCCGGGGGCATTATGCGTCGGAGAAGGTCTCCTCGACAATGGGGAGAACCCGGTGGGGCCCCTTCGGCGGTCCCCCCGTTCTCGCGCATAATCCCCGAGCGCGCGCTACTCGTGGGACTTTGCCAATGCGTGCGCGCGCGCCCGTTTTCGTTCTCTCGGTATATACCCCTCGGAAGATTAAAACTCCTCGCGAGGGTCGGTCGCTCTATATATTTTGTTATAAATTTGACCGCAGCCCTCCTCGAGCACGCTTAATATTGACAGTTTCGGCCGAGCTCTTTATAAAAACGGGGGCGCGCGGTACCAGCCCCCTCGATGGTTTCCGTTAATTTTCTATGTTTATTGCTAAAGGGGAAAACCGGGTTATTGATAGCCGTTGTTATTGTGACAATGTCAGTTTAAACATGCGACGAAAGTAACCCTGTTTGTTCCGCACAAAGGTGTCAAGTCTGAGGTTTATTTAAATTCTTGATTTTTTAGAAAGAGAGAGAGAAATTTTTATTTTTTTTTTATAGAAAGAAAGTGAAGGATCTTTTCCTCTTGTCAAATTATCACTGTAATAACAAAGTTTTACTCGCTGTACTAAAAGAAAAAAGTAAACGTCATTGCATCCAAGTAGTATTGATCGCGAATGACTCGTCGTTCTATATGCGATTACCGCTGCCTGGCACGAACGTGACTCGTTCTTCCGGTGGAATGGGGTACGCACAAGTCGCTCCCCCGATTCTCAAGCAATTCGCAGCGAGCGAGCGCGACTTTACTGTGTATCACGTGTAAAATTCGCGCGGACCAATGCGCCGCGGGGGCCCCGCGCGTTTAAAGAGCGCTAATAACACGAGTGCTTCAGACTAAGGTACGCGGTCGAGCCTAGTCGACGGGGAGATCGCACAACACAATTCTAAGAGAAGGAAAAAGGGATGGGGAGCGAAAAGGAAAGAGACGCGCGCGCTCACGGCGACGCGGAGGCAGGGGGTAAAACGAGGCAGAAAGGGGGTGGATCAGTGCGGGCCCTTTGTCACGACGCGTGCCCCTGCACGTGTGCACGGCCAATGCCTACGCACTTCGGTTACGCACCATGCTCCGTTGCAGGGGCGGATATCAAAGTTATAAATGCGTGCTACGGTGTTTCGACGAGAATGAGAAGCTCGCGCTCTCTTCCGCTCCATAGCGACATAAAAAAACACAAACGTGACATACGGCTGTGTTTAACTTTCCTCGCTGTTTTTTTTAGAGTCAAGATGTTAATATTGTAAATAAAACACATCATGTACATAAAAACACTTTATTAAAAAATATGTATATATATATTTTTATAATATTTTGAGGAAGTCTATTCTAAAAATTTAAATAGTTGTGAATATAATATTTTTGCAGGTGTTACTTATTATACAAAAAAAAAAAAAAAAAGTGATTTTGCATCTCCGACCCTGATTCGAGGCGCACTTACGTTCTGCTATAGAGCTCGTCCTTCGTGCCTACGTAGGTGCGCTCTATTCAACTGCGAAAGGTAATTCTATTCCCCTTTTCTCTATCGGGGCCCACCCTGTCACGGGCTGAGCTTTACAATGTGCAAAATTATACGATCAGCCTGCTCGATCTACCTACCCTCTGCACACCACCTCCCCTCTTTCTCTGACTTCGTATGAAGTTTTCGATTGTAAGCGATACTCGAGCGTTTCCGCGCGCAACAAAACGTGAATTTCTTCTTTTCTCGACGGCACTCGATCTTTTTTTTTTTACAATTACAGTCTTTTTGTCTCGGAAAAATGCAAATGCAGTTCAATAAAGCGAATGAGTGCGCAAATGTATGAGAGATTGAAAGAAAACTTAATTATTGAATATTGATTCTGTCTTATTTACACGAGTATCGAATCCTCGAAATAATACACAAAGCAACTCGCGATTATTCGTTCGAGTGTTTCAGCGGCACGGACGGCAAAGATACTTTCTTTTTCACATACACACGAATGTTCTCGTTTTTTGTCATTAAAAGTTGAGATAACCCGAGACTGCTTCGATAATAAAAGGTTCGAAAGCGCAAAAAGTCCAAACCGTTTCCTGCTCCGGGATTCGAGGGCTCCCGGTAAAAAAAAAAAACGGCGCAGAAAAGAGCCGAGAAGAAATCGCTCCTTTTCTCTCTCTTTAGGCTCCTTTCTTTTTTTTTTTTTTTTTTTTTTTTTGCCACACGTAGGTCCATCGCTCGACTCCGCGCGACGACTAATCCGTAGCGCCAATGGATCTCACGCTAGCTTTTTTCGTCAACCCCACGGCGAAAATGCCACCGCGACGCGTTCGTCGAAGGCGTGTG